TTTTTTTTTTTTTTTTTTTTTTGCTTGATACTTATGCTCCAAAAGTAACACAAGTTTAATAATCCTAAGAACTAGTACTAAACCCATCCATATTATAACGGAACCATACATGGGGTGAAATAGTACAATTATAATCCCCTTTTCTGTAGCCGATTCTGGGGTCGTAGCTGGTATTTAGAGCTCCCTTCTTCCACTATCCATTCTGTATTCTCATGGCCTTCAGCAAGGATCACAGCAGGTCTTTGGTTTTTGTTTTTGGTGGTACCAGAAATTGAACTCAGGATCCTTGTGCTTGCCAGGTAAGAACAGCAGGTCTTGGTTCTTTACCTGGTGGAGTGACCCATACCTTCATTCCTGAAGCTTCTGGACCATGTGTCATTGTGCCTGTCTTAGGTTGTTGTAGTTCCCCATTGACTATTTTTGCAGAACCAGGGATTGAACTCAGACTCTTACGCTTGCCAAGGAAGCGCTTATTCTATGGAGCCATCTCCCCGGCCCCCCCTTTTTTTTTTTAATCTTTTTTTTTTGCAGGGGGGACCAGGATTGAACTCAGGCCCTTGCGCTTGCCAAGGAAGCACTTATTTCACTGAGCCATCTCCCTGGCCCCTCCCCATTGACTTTAATAACAGGGCATGACAGTACTAAGAGCCCCCTCCCCCCAAGCGACCTTCTGCACTCCATGCATGTTCTTCCTTTCCTCCATTGTGCAGTAGTAATCCAATTTCCCCTTGACAGCCTGGGTCAATCACTCCTGACAACACAAACTGGAAAAAAAAAAGTCATAGATTGGGAGATCTGATGCTTAAAATATCCAAAAGATACACCAAGCAGTGTGTCAATGTGAAGTCTCAGAATGGAGTGAAAAGTCAAATGTAAAAAAATCTGGTCTGAGCCTGGGGGGATAGCTCAGTGGTCTAAGTGCCTGCATGGCAAGTGCAAAGACCCAGGTTCAATCCCCAGTACCGCATGTTGGGCGGACCATGCCCACCGCTGAAACCAGGCATGGTGGCACACACCTGTAATCCCAGCACCAGGGAGGCTGAGACAGGAGGATCACTTTGAATCTGAGCTGCATAGTGAGACCTTGTACCAAATATTTTTTTAATGAAAAAAAAAAACAAAACAAAATCCAGTCTGGCTGCACCCGTTTAACTTTTCTAGGAACACTTCGCCTGAGTTGTACAAAACAAATCAGATATTTAAAAGTTGAAAGTAAAAACACTGAATTGTCAACTGAAATTTACCACCTAGAGCTAGAAAATGTTGAGTGAAGCTGCTGTAGAGATGAGCCAATTAGTAAGGTAGTGGAAGGCTCGGCTGTCACGCTGGGCTCAACACAGCTGACTTGAGATCACAGAGGAAATCACCTATTGCCACATGTAATTATAAATGGCTTTGACAGGTATCAGAGAATGATCACCGCAGTCAGTCACAGCTCTTCTTCAAAACTACTTAGGACAACTGTTTAAGTAGTATTGATTAGATGTGTTTCCCTTTGATTTTTTTTTTTT